AGGACCTCTCTCATATTCTATCTTGTCATATCTAAACTCATAGTCATGTATGTCCTCTAACCATCTCATAACGGTTTCCAAACCACTTTTATCGGATGTAAAGTAAAAGCATGGACAGTTATGTAAAACGTCTAAAGTTTCTAAAGAGTCTCTCAAAGTCCAGTCTACTTGGTATTGAAAATCCCATGTGTTATAGAACGGCGGGTCCACTATAAAGAAAACATTTTCCTTGTCTTTATATTTTTCATACAACTCTGTCCAATGACATCTCACAAACTCTATACCCTCAATATATTTTTCTATGTCCTCTTTGAAAACATTTGTATAGTTAAGATATAAAACTTTTGACATAAGTGTTTCAATGTCATGAACTCTTATAGAACCACTATATAATAGTCTAGCAGATATACTATCCCAGTCTATATATTCTGCTTTTTTCAAAACCTCTCTCACAATATTTTTCTTATCTAATGGTATACGTTCCATCTTACCTATAGGTATCTTTTCTTTTAACGCTTTCAATATATTGTTTGTGTCTGGTATATGTTTGAGACGGTCCATATAGTTGTCGAAGTCATTGCATATAATCTTTGAGTCTGGGAATATTGTATGGCACAAATGGGATATATAGAAACTTCCACCGAACAAATCTACAAATGTTAGACCATTCGGTAGTTTCTTAAGTTCTCTCAATATAATATCTTTACATTTACCCTTATTTCCAAAGAACGGTAACGGTGGTTTTGTAAAATTCATTTATATATAATAATAAAAATGTTTTTTCCTGAAAAGTGACAGAAAAGTGACAAAACATGAAAACATATATAATTTGTGAAAAGTGAAACATTATATAATGTTTTCGACCCAGAAGACTAACAATTTTCCGAATAAAAACTTCATTTATACTAAACATCTTCGGGAAGCCCTCCGAATAAAAACTTCATTTATACTAAACATCTTCAGGGCTAGAGGGCACGAAGTGCCTGGAAGCCCCACTACCTTTTTTTTTTTTTTTTTTTTAAAATTCATAAAACATTAAAAATCAAAAAATTAGATGAACCTTGGCAATTAAACTTTATTAAATAATAGTTGTTTATAAATTATATTATATTATCATTTAATATTATTTTGATAATGAAGATTTTATTTTGCAATAATATAAACGAAATTTTTTACCTTATGAACTTTTGATGGAAATATGCAAATTTAAAATAATAAAGAAAGCCGCGAGCGAAGCGATCGGCTTAGTTCGAAGATTTTGATTCAAATCTTTGCTGATCTGTAATTCGCGGAAGCCGCGAGCGAATCGAGCGGCTTAGGTCTAAGATTTTGATTCAAATCTTTGGTTATATTCCTTAAATTCTTTATGAAACTCGCAACAGTTCCATAAAAAATTTTAAATTCTAAACTGTCGAAATTACCGATCGGTAATCACACCCTTCACGGGTGTGTCACTTTTAGCTAAAATTACCCCTACTCTGTTTACCCCCACATGGCATGACCTTCAATTCTGGTGTTTAAGGTTGATTTTTAATTATGTTTAAGGCTAACTTTCAATGGACATAATTGCACTCTTACCTCTCTCAATTTTACTTCCCCATTACATTTTTAATATTGTCCTGAGTTCAGGATATCTGATATTGATTGGAGAAGAAGTATATATTTCCATCTTGGGCAACACATATCAGATATTTCCAAAAGACTTCAACTTGAAATCTGCTTCCATACAATTCGTCAGATATCTGTAGATATTCTTGATCTGCTTTTTTGTTCATAATCTATTAATGAGGTGCGTTTTTATACGGATTTTTTTCCATTGAAATTTCAATCATTTCCAAATATAATTCAGAGAAGGTGTAGTACAAAGGTACTCTTATGATGTATACTTGACGAAAGTGTTAATTGTCCAAAACACCTAATTTTGATGATTTTTCACAAATCTTAATAATAACTCACGTTTTTCAGCTTGAAATGAATTCATATTGCTAATTAAATCAAAGTCTGTTATGAATAAACATTTATTTTGATATTTTGATCCTTTTTATTAGCAAATTTTAGTCAATAGATTTAATTTCTATAAGGAAGGCAAGTAAGGTATTTACATCGTCTCTTCGACATGATTTTCCTGCCTTTGACAGATTTTTCCTCGCTTAGAGAAGGGTCTGTTCCGCTCACTCTAAAAATAAGAAACCGAAATTTAAGTGGAATTAACTGAGTGACTATAATGGAGAACCATATATATTACATCCAGACGTGGTTAAAGTATACGGTTATGATGTAATTCACTATAATGAGTCTATTTGGCTTAAAATCTTTCATCATAACTCAAAAGCAGGCTTTTTTAAGAATAAACAAGAGGGAAACTATTCTTTAGATAGAAACCTCTTTTCAATATTAAATGTTATCGATGAAAAGTTTAAACTAACAGACGGTACTAATAGTTATTACTCATTAATATACGAAATTCCCCAAATTCCGCAATATATTAATTTCCACCAACAATCCTACTTCACTGATACTAACCCACAAGCAGCCGGTTTTACCATTTTGAACAAAACCGGTACTTGGTCTCACTTTGGCGGCATTCATGTACTAACATCCCCGAGTAACTGGTCTTCTTTATACGTATGCGATGATACAAATCGATCATGGAATTATCCCTTGGGGGCGATTGATCCATACTATAGACCAGGTATGCCTTTTTGGGGTAAAAATGCCAGCTATGTTGATTTGTGGATTGAATTGAGCAGTTTATCAATTATGAATTATTTAGATCCAATTTTTGTTTTTTGTACTGAAAAGTTCAATTATAGACTTTCAATTCCCTTGTCGCTTCTAAATGTATTTATTTCTGATTAATTTTGAAAGAATGTTATGCAATAATTTTGAAATTAAGAGATTTAACTTGGATCTAAAGATATATTTGAGATTGCCTATAATTGTTATAATGAATCGACTTCTTTACATAACAACAAACCTTAATTCATCCTTCAAATTTATAAAGAGACTTTAAAAACATGGTAAAATATAAATAGCATGAAATTTTAGTTCATTTTCTACATACTATTGGTCATCAAACCCGTTATTTTTTATGAAAAAAAAATCATATTTTCCTTAATTATGTACTTTTTCAGGTATTTTTTGAATTAACACTCCCCTTGTTTTTTATCTGCATCTACATATAAAATATGCACAAATAAGGATTTATAATTAAAAATATTTTTAGAAATGGGTAAATAAATCGTTAAATCTTAGATCTTATTAATCATTTCTTCTTAGAATGAGATTGTGGTAATGAGAGCTGTGTATGATAGTTGGAGTATTGTTAAATTGTGCGAAATTTTGATAAGTTTCAAATACGATTAATAGAATGTTCATATGTATTATAATTTAATAATATGCGATACTAATGAATGTAAACAATCGACATTAAGTGATTGATGAAAATCGATATCAATATTTAAAACTTTCGAGGCTTTTTTGCTTGAAAGCAATTGTCTTTGACCCATGGAATGAATCTATCCTTGGTGAATTTCTCCAAATTTTTTCTGTTTTTGAAAATTCCTTTGTAATTTTCTAGAAAATGAAAACGTTTTTTTCAATTCTTGATTTTTTTTGGAAAAATGAGGTTAAAAATTTTGAAAATTTAAAATTTATCGAGGAACAAAGCATTTTTGTTGTGTTATAAATCGCCGAAGCAATTTTATTTTTGTTATTCTATAATTTTTCTACTAAAATATGTCAATTATACAGTAGAATTAAATAATTATTTTTCAATGATATATAAAAGAAGCATATTTTCCAAAATTTTAAATTAGTCATAGTTTGTTATCAAATACAGTATATAATTCTATATAGATAACTAGCTACTATTAATTATATAAAAATATTTCTTGTTCAAACTAAGGATTTGCTTCACATTTTTAGAAACCATAGTAAACATCTAGAAAATAATAAATAAAATCATGATTTTATTAACAAGTAAGTTCAAGATATATATTGTGATTTGCATTTCGATAATAAATCTGAATAAAATGTGTATAAAACTCGCTCATTTAGACTTCTCATTATAATCATGTTATCAGTTAGTGACTATTGCTACAGAACAAGTAACATTAGATCTGTATCTCATAATCAAACGGAAGTTAAGCTAAGACATTTGTGATTTTATAACCTGATAGTATGTATAAAACTATATCAGAATGACTAGTCAATCTGTTGTTTCAATATCGTTTTAAATTTATTATGCCAAAATAGTACTTTGGTTATCATTGGTAATACGTGAGGTTGCTACTGTTGTAATATTTCGAAAAAATAAAGGTATCAACTTAAATGGAAGATATGATGTGTTGAACATCGAATAATTGGATTTTGGCAATATTAATATTCTTTGATCCCTAGTATATCATTGTTTTATACGAATAACATGGATCGATTCCGTTTCGATGATCAGATAAAGCAGAAACAATATACTCAGGTGCCACTTTTTTAGTCTAAAATATTCATTCAAAAGGGTATTTCTCCCCCTTCATTAGCATAAAGTGTTTTTCTTTTATGCTATCTAAAAGCCGTTGGAGCTGATACAAGATACCAAAGATATTTAATAACAATTTCAAACAATGGACATATAAAAGTTATTGTTTTCATCCATCATAAGCAATAAATCATTTGCTCCCAGCTGTTATTCTGAGAATTAATACAAAATCAAACAGACAGAAACGTATTGCATAAAATTTCAATAACAATTACCTTATTTCTTTTCGTTTTGTTGTTCATCCACGATTTATAGTACTATTCATAAAAGGTAAAATGTTTATAGTGCGTAATTAAACGATACTTTACCAATTCCATATACAGAGCCCTTATATAATATAAATTTCTCCTGTATAATTTTATATTTTTCCACAGGTTACAAAAATATAACTTTTATAATAATATGAATTGAGGTCTTTTGAGAAGCTAAATTGAAAATCAGTAAAGTTAATAGAAAGACTAAGTTTTTAAAAATATAAAGAATTTTCTGCGCGAATTGTTTTGACGCCCTTGATCAAAGCAGCAATGCCATTGCGAAGCTTCTGCTCGTCGACAGAGAAGCAAAGTCTGTACCAACCTGGAATTGGATATCTGAAACCATTTGCTCCAGGAAGGATATGGACGTTGAATCTTTCAATGAGATCCAACCAAATCTTCTTTTCTTCTTCCTTATTATGGGCAATGTCTGTCAGATCAATCATGATAAACAAGGAACCATCGCAATGATTGAATTTAATTCCGCCTTCTTGCAATAATGTTTCTGCAACTCCGATATTATGAGAGAGTCCTTTCCTTGATTCTACAATGAGTTTATCTCTAAGCTCGTGGTTACAGTAGATTGTTTCAAGGAGCTGGCGAGTATCACTTCCCATTGAGTAGCAGCCCATACAGAGCTTAACAGTTTCAAACACATCTTTGTTTTCAGTGTAGAAGATTCCAATATGGAAGCCAGCCATGCCCCAGTCTTTGGAAATGCCGTAAAGATGATGTGTTCTTGTCAAATCAACATCTGGATGGGCCATAATTGAGGTGAATTCTCCCTTGCGGATGGTTAATGCGTAAATGTCATCTAAAAGGATATGAAGGTTAGGATTCTGATAAGCCCATTTAAGAATCTTATCTTGATTAGGGATAATGTCTCCAATAGGATTGCCTGGGTTTGTCAGAATAAGGATCCTGGCATTTTCAGGTGGTTTCTCTGGGAGATTATCAAGATCAATGTATTCAAATGAGCAGCCGCAAGGATACATGTCTGGCTCGAAACATCCAAAGCAAGGCTTTGGAATAAGAACAAGGTCGCCTTTCTGAGCCAGGGCAAATCCAACTCTCTCAAGAAGATGAGCAATTCCACTTCCAAATAAGATCTGATTGGAATTGACATTCTTCATGCCCATGTGGTCGACATAAAGCTGTGCAATGGCTTGTCTGAGCTTTTGAGTGTTGCAAGCAGAGCAATAAGAGAGATCACATGTCTTAAACTCTGGTCTGCTCTGTAATAAAGGTAAAAGAAGATGGTCGATCATGTGATTTTCGGCAGTGCCAAGGTTGATGACTTGATTATTGGCAGCACACTTGCAGAGGCCAATCTGGAGCTCACTTTGTGGCTTCTTGAGTAGATGCTCGACATAAGTTGTTCTCCTGAGAGTCATGTGTCGACTTTGTTTAATTTTGAATCAGCTCTCATTTAATTTGTGACAAAATTGAATTTTCTGTACTTAACACTATCGTATTATTATCCATAATTACAAACATATGGATTTGTCATGATAAACACAAATGTTTTATTGTTTCCAATTTTTCAGCAGTAAAAATTATTCTGAAAAATTGAAATCGCAACACAACGATGAAAAAAGTCTGAATCAGGTAAAATGATCTTAACCCGGACACAAATACATCGATATGAACAAAATTTTCAATGTTTTCATCTTTCTAACATATAATATATTAAATGGACTATTTAAAATATTATATTTTAATTTCATAAACAGTTGAGATTAAGAGTTTATTGAAATATAATTAATTCAAAAAAATTTATTTGATAATTCTATCCAAAAATTGTATACTATAATAGTTATCATATTTTTGAATTAATAAATGATCCGTTATTTCTGAAATTTTGAATCATTATGAAAAAGCATTATCAAAATGAAATCTAGTAATATGATAAAAACACATGTTGAGTATTTTAACAACTTTTTTTGCAACCTTTTCAAATATTTTTTTCCAACAGTTTTATAACTGTATTCTTCCTATAATTTACAACATGCTTGTATAATTTTCAATTGAAAATAAAATAATGGTTCATGACTTCATTTTTTCCATTTCTTGATTTTCTTTTCATTATCATCTACCCAATATTCTGCAACATCTCCTTAAATAATTTTCTCTTTTTTGCTGATCGCGTTTGTAAAAATTTCTTTTTAATTGACTTCTTTCAATAAAAAATATGCAGTATTATCTATTTCACATTTTATATCAATTTTATCAAATTATCCATCAGTTTGGATGAGAAATTTATTGTCAGATTTGAATTTTGTATCGCATCAATTTTATGTACTATCTGATTTAGGAATATGTAAAGTGGAAAAATATCTTAGATTAACATATTACAGTATCTTTAGATCATAATATTGTGTTATCCTTATTTTTTTTTGTATAAATTGTAATTAGATTTCTTTTTCATATCCGATTATGAAGACTAAAACTTACCGAAATAATTCGTAACAAAGTATTTTAAAGAATATATGAACGGAACACATGCAAGTATAAACAGAAATCGCTACACAACTTTATCCGAAATTACTCATTTCTTTCAAATAAAAACTATGAAATCCATTCATCACCTCTATTTATTCTACATGAATCAATGAATTGACTATCATTCCCATCTCTATTAATAGTGTTTTCGATGTGAAATGTTAGAAAACTGGATGAAAACCTTCAAAATTCGGAATAAAAAAATCTGCAAAAAGATCATTTTTTTTGTGATTGCATCATTGCTAGAACATAGATTTGTTATTTCTCTAACTAAGTCTTGTTTATTGATTTCTCCTACATCAGCAACAGCTTCGAAACATTTCGTCAAATGAAGCCACTGACCTCATCACTCATCATTTAATAAATAGGCAGTGTTTCAAACATTTTCTCATTTATTTTGATAACACAGCATTTGGAATCATTGTTTTCTAAAAGACTGAAACCTCGAGATATGCTTTTAAACAATTTTAATCTTTAATTATTACTTGAAAAGTTTGATTTTAAATATAAGTTCATTTTGAACTTGTCTTTGAGTCTGATTGATATACAAAAGTATTTTCCTTCTTCACTAAGCACAATAATATCATATATTCGGTGATAAAACAAAAATGTCACATAGTTTTTCTCATTGCTGCATATTATAAAGCAGTTTTTTCTTTCCCAAATGACCAAGATAAAAGCACGTTATAAAGGTACATGAACATGGATTAAACAAATAAAATATGATATATATGAGAAGGCAAAGATGTTCATATAACAGTTCGCAATCATCGGATAGAATCTAAAGAATTAATTATTAATAGCGAATGTTGATTATAATTCTGTGCATATTATTTTTCTCATAAACTTAATACCCTGTGGTTCATATATTATCTTATTACAAATGATTTGCAACAATAGATTATTGCAATTTCATAATTATGGTCTTCAAACCGCTTAAGTAATACAAATTTTATGATATATCATTTAAAATTTTGAATTAGAAACCTAAATAATGATAAAACGAAAAAATGTCGACTCAAAGGTACATTCACTATTTGTGACAAAATTTTAAATTTTCATGGGTTGTAAATCTTATAATAACTACCCTATAATTTTATGAATATGGCACTTTTCGTCGATTTTCAAAGAATTAAATCGCTTCTATCTCAATAACTAATAAACATATAAGATTTTTGAAAGTATATATATAGTGTACTACATCTCAAGATATTATTAATATGTATTAGAAAGAATAATATATTGGATTTTGATATCACAAAATGACTTTTCAATTTATTGTAGTTCCTCACAGAGTTGAGATTCTACAAAATTCTTTGCAGATAATTTATGAAGGGATGATAGACTAACGAACTATAGATACATGAATTGAAAATAAAAAAATCGATTAAATATGAACCTTCATAAACCGTTTAAGAAACTTAAAAACTATTCTTTATTGTTTATTTTGGACGAAGTTTAATATGATTGTGGTTTTATTGGACAATAATCGAGTAACGGAAAAATATAACATTTATCTATAAAGTGAAAATTTAGAGGTATATTTCGTAAGATATTTCCTCTCTGATTACAAGAACTATTGTGAGCTATCAATCTAATGAAAGAGAGCAGATTTGGCCGTAATGAAAATGCAATACTTCGAAAATCAATGCAAAAAAGATTAATTTGTTAGAAACAATCGACTATGACACTGAATTCTAAGAGCAAACGTTTACATTAGGATATTTTGATCATTTCCAAATATTGCAAAATTGCATTTAAACAAGTTAAGGAGAATACTATATTAACCGTGTTGTAAGGAAATATAACAATTTTAAAGATTTTGCGACAGAATTTGAAAAAATATGAAAATCAGATATATAAAAATTGAATAAAATAACATTATGATGGAATATAAGTAGATGAGCTATTAATGCTGCTATGATTTAAAATTGAGTAGTAATGAAATAGAATTTCGATTAAAAAAATTAATGTAATCGTATGAAAGCTTTGATCCAAATAATTAATATTCGCAAATATTTTAACCTACTAATAAAATTCTGATTATATTAAGATATTTTAAAAATGAGATTCCAAATTGAATGGTGATGGAGATGAAAATTTTTAAAAATATAAATAAGAGGATAAATTGATTGAGATATTAACTAGTAAATATTTGAAAAAGTAAATTATTTGAAATCCTTTAAAAATGTTACGGATAAAAACTATATAAATAAAATGACTGGTGTGGTTGGTTAGCTTAATGTGTAATATCAAAAAGAATTAATGTGTGTTGTGAAGTGAGCAACTTTGAGAAGAATCATTTGTGATTCTTGTCAAAGTTGAATCAAAGACAACAATTGATAGACAATTGTTGTCTTTGTGTACAACATTCACTTGAATTATAAACAATAACAAGTGTTTGTTGTTCACTGAGCAACTTTGAGAAGAATCATTTGTGATTCTTGTCAAAGTTGAATCAAAGACAACAATTGATAGACAATTGTTGTCTTTGTGTACAACATTCACTTGAATTATAAACAATAACAAGTGTTTGTTGTTCACTGAGCAACTTTGAGAAGAATCATTTGTGATTCTTGTCAAAGTTGAATCAAAGACAACAATTGATAGACAATTGTTGTCTTTGTGTACAACATTCACTTGAATTATAAACAATAACAAGTGTTTGTTGTTCACTGAGCAACTTTGAGAAGAATCATTTGTGATTCTTGTCAAAGTTGAATCAAAGACAACAATTGATAGACAATTGTTGTCTTTGTGTACAACATTCACTTGAATTATAAACAATAACAAGTGTTTGTTGTTCACTGAGCAACTTTGAGAAGAATCATTTGTGATTCTTGTCAAAGTTGAATCAAAGACAACAATTGATAGACAATTGTTGTCTTTGTGTACAACATTCACTTGAATTATAAACAATAACAAGTGTTTGTTGTTCACTGAGCAACTTTGAGAAGAATCATTTGTGATTCTTGTCAAAGTTGAATCAAAGACAACAATTGATAGACAATTGTTGTCTTTGTGTACAACATTCACTTGAATTATAAACAATAACAAGTGTTTGTTGTTCACTGAGCAACTTTGAGAAGAATCATTTGTGATTCTTGTCAAAGTTGAATCAAAGACAACAATTGATAGACAATTGTTGTCTTTGTGTACAACATTCACTTGAATTATAAACAATAACAAGTGTTTGTTGTTCACTGAGCAACTTTGAGAAGAATCATTTGTGATTCTTGTCAAAGTTGAATCAAAGACAACAATTGATAGACAATTGTTGTCTTTGTGTACAACATTCACTTGAATTATAAACAATAACAAGTGTTTGTTGTTCACTGAGCAACTTTGAGAAGAATCATTTGTGATTCTTGTCAAAGTTGAATCAAATTTTTATTTATTTCATGTATTTCTTTTTTAATATCGATATTCCTATTATTATTCTAGCGTTTATTAATAAACATATTTCTTGCAAAACCTTAAAAATAAAATTTTGGATTCTTCCTTCTCATATACTGTACCCTTAGTTCTTTATTTTTAAAAATCTTATTTGGCGGTTACTCTCAATTTTCTCAATTTTCTGAGCAATGAATTTACTTTTTTATATCAAATTTTAATGATTATCAAATCTTATAAACAAGATGTTGAAAATATTGATATTGGTGATTGTGTCTCCAAGATACCATTTCCTGTTGACAAAATAGATGCATTTGACGAAAATATCCTTGTTTTTACCCGGATTGTTATTTATTACGACTTTAAAATTTTAGCATTAGAATCCGATGATACATATCTATGTTATTTTCAATGGCAAAACAAATCAACACATAATAAACAAAAGAAAATAGGTACATTATTGTATTCTTTAATGAATAACGAAATTTCACTAGTAGAC